GGACAAAGTTGAATAAACAAGAGGAGTTTGGTGCTTTGGAAAGTGTGAAAGCTGCTAGTGAACTCTATTCCCCTCTATCAGGAGAAGTAACGGAAATTAATAAAGCTCTAGCAGAAAATCCAGGACTTGTCAACAAGTCTTGTTATGAAGATGGTTGGCTGATCAAGATGACATTCAGTAAGCCTTCAGAACCAGATGAACTAATGAGTGAAGAAGCATATGAAAAATACATAAAATCTATTGAGGAATGAAAATGGAACCCCTAAATAAACTACTTTGAAACAACTTAATCTAGCATAGTTGTCTTAAATTAGTGGTGGATAGATATTTAAAAAGCAACTTTTAGCAAAAGAAACTACTTGTAACAATGTTTCCTGAAGAAAATACCCCTTAACTTTCTAATGCCTTCAGATAAACACTGTGTATCTTTTCCACAGCATTCTGTGATTTTTAGGCTAGGCTCCAGTTATAATATTCAGAATTCCTGAAATTATCTCTGATAAAACTAATTACATGCACCCATCATGATGGTCAATATTAAAATATTATGTAATTCAAGGATAACATGGTTATCTTATACCTTATATGACATTGTAACTTGCTTACAGCTATCCTTGGATTTGGGTCAAAATGATCTTCCCACTAGAAATAACTGGCAGTGGAGAAAAGTTTGTTAGTTGTATAGTGTCCAGTGAAGAATATTACTGTCTTAACTTTGCAATATACTGTGTTTGCTGGTGCTATTTTTATACAGTGAAGCAACAGCCTTGCAGGAGAATAAATAATTTAATAATAAAATATTCAACTTCTTAATAAAAAAAAAAGTGCACCATTAACGCATTCAGCCATATACGGATGCCAATACAAGCCACTAGAGATAAGAGAAGCGGCAAGTTAGACATGTACCCCCCTTCAGAGAGCTTATAGCTTGCATGGTGTGTTAGTTGCTCAGTCTTGTCCTACTCTTTGCGACCCATGGACCCATGCAACCCCATGGAGCCCATCAGGTTCCTCTGTCCATGGGACTCTCCAGGCAAGAATACTGGAGTGGGTTGCCATGTCCTTCTCCAGGTATCTTCCCGACCCAGGGATCGAGCCCAGGTCTCCCACACTACCGGCAGATTCTCTACTGCCTGAGCCATCTGTAAATCCCACAGCCTGGCTGGGGAGCTTGTCAAGTCAGTAAGTGATTGACATACAGTGGGCGCAAGTGCTCGAGGGCTGAGCACACACTACTCCAGCCGGGACACTCTGAAGGAACCCAAGCTAGTCTTAAGGGATCAACAAGGGGTGTCCACACTGACCTGTGGAGGATGAGCACGTGTCAGCCAAAGGGAAGAAGGAAAACAGGAAGGGGGGAAGGACGAGGGAGACGAGGAGGACGAGAAACCCAGGTGGACACACCACGCTTCCTTCATCTGCTAGTCAATGGGCATCAACCGACGGTTCCCACTCTTAGGCTCTGAGGGATGATGCCGCTGTGCCCACCCAGTCACGAGTCTTTGTGTAGACGTGTTTTCAAACCTCAGGAGCATGTGACTAGGAGCAGAACTGCAGGGGCACGAGGCACGACTGCTCGTCACCCACTTCCCTCCCCAGAATCCCAGGCAATAGAGTCACCCAAACCACTGTGTCCTCATTCCCCAAATGAGCCCAACCCTCCTACTTCCACCAGAACTGGAGAAAGTCCTCCTACCTGAAGCTACTCCTTCTGCTCAGTCTGGTCTGGCAAACACCAATTTGCTCCTCAAGGTCAGGGTCATCTTTTTCATGGAATACTACCCAAACCACCCTTCCACCTCTGAAGAGAGCTGCCAGTCCTCTGAGATACTCCTACATCCTTACTTACAGGGACTCCTCTGGGCCGTAACCACAGCATCCTCCCACGTCCCATGCTCCTCATGTCAACCCCTGATCCCAGCAACACCCAGAGTACACACCTCTGGATGGCCGGCAAAAAAGATCCTTAAAGGAGTTTTACTAGTTAAACTTGGGTGCATTTTTGGAGCGTGTTTTTGGTTAAAAAGAGGAACATAAGCCAAGATTTCAGGCAAACGATGAGCAAGGAATTCCCCTTCATCTTAAAAGTTTATTACAAATCCACTGAACACACTAACGTACAGAATCAGAGAGCAAGATCGAGAAAAGTGGCTGAACAGCAAAAATTAAGGATTTTCCCACCCATTGAGCATTGCTCTATTTCATAGATTCAGGTAAGATTAAAATTTCAAAGCTGACATGGATGGATTTTAGCATATTTAAGGTTAAATGTAAATTCTAACGAAGTCAGAGTTTTTGTCCTTTGGACTGTGAAGAAATTCATAGAAAGTTTATTATGTTATAAATGGAGTTTTGTTTACTACTCAAAGTGGTCCTCCTTAAGGAAAAAATAAAAAGCCCTGTAAATCTGAACATACAAACCTTTCAAAACAGATAAAACAGTAAGACTTTTATTTTTTAACATTTATCATAATCTTTCTTTTTCATTATAGTTTATTATAAGATATTGAATATAGTACCCTGTGCTATATATATGACAGGACCTTGTTGTTTATCTAGTTTATTGAATTTATCTCCTTTCCATTTTGGTAACCATAGGTTGTTTTCTGTGTCTGTGAGTCTGTTTTATAAACAAGTTCATTAACATTCACTACATCTTTAACTCAGACATTTAAAATCACATTATCTGAAAATATATTAATTAGAAATACTGCTTGTATCCACCCTCACTTTACCTGAAACAATATTCAAACTCTACATCAATGTCTCTGGTACTATTAGGGACACTGTGGAATAACACTTGTCATAAAAAGAAGGCCCACTGGCCCCAGGACCCCTCCTGTGAGTTCATGAGCACTCAAACAGGCTGGCGGGGCCCGTGGGGGCGGAGCGGGGGAGAACCCCCAACTGTGCCGTCTCCTGCTGTGAACACCCAGACAGGCCCACACGCAAGGAGGCCAGGCCTCCCTCCCCCACTTCATTTCAGCACGGTGATCCTCAGAAATGCTAACTATCAACTCAGTGGATGGTACCATGCGCTCTCTAGAAGGTCACCAATCAATTAAAATACCTACCGTTAAAACAGAAACAAACTACCCCACAGTTTCTAACATCCGAGCTGTACAAATGAGAAAATGAAGCTTTGGGAAGAGTTTAATTGCTGATCTGAGGTCACGGTAATTAGAGGTCGGGAGAGTGGGAGGAACCCGTGGTCCTCTGACTTCAGGTCTATGAAGACTCCGATTAACCAACCACCACTACCCACGGGCCTCAGGAGGTGGCGGTCTGTTCACCGGGGTCAAATGTCCCGAGCCTCTCAGCCCCGTACCAGCGCCTTCAGATCACTGATTAACATAACCTCGAATGGTCAGCAACCTCCTCCTCTCCTGGGGATCTGCGGCAAAGGCCTCGCATGAGGGGAGACCGACCACAGGAGGACGGTCCCCCCGCGACAGGACAGAACGTGAGAAGGCGGCCCAGGGGCAGTGCAGATGCAGGGGAGTTTGCTGACGGGAGGGGGCGGGGGGGGCGGTGAGAAGAGAGGCCCGCTGCGGGCGGGAGATGTGCATCTGGTGTACCTGTGGGGAAACGTCCAGGTGGAGGACACGGCAGGGTGGAAGCAGCCCAGGGAAGGCTCGGGGGCCACATCCCGCGGCTCACGGTCCCCCTGCGTGGGAGACCGTCCACCCCCGTGGGCACTGTGGGGGCGGGGTACCGAGCGAACCGGGATGAGCGGGAGAGGGGCCGGCCCCGGGGCCGCTCAGAACCCTGAGGCTGAGAGCAGGGTCCACTCAGCCTGCGGGCTGCGCCAGGCACCGTGTCTTCAGAGCTGCCGGCCTGGGAGGCTCCAGAAGCCGCAGGGGCCCAGCAGCAGGGGAGCAGCACCCTTAACAAGCAAAAACCCACCCCCACAAGCAACGGAGAGGCCCACCCAGCCGGGGTCAGCCTCCAGGAGCCCAGGGCCCTGCCTCGGCCTCTCCGCCTCCTCCCACTTCAGAGAGGCCACGTGCAGGCTCTCCGCACCGCCGAGCCCGCCGCAGCACAGGGACGCACGCCACCCACGGGCAACGCTCAACCAGCAGAGACCACGGACGCCCCGGGGGGCGGCTGTCCATGGGACCTCTCGGGGCACCTGAAGTCCTAAACGGAAAACGAGAGCTACCCCACGCGGAGAAGCGTACAAACAGCACCGAGCGTGCTGAGCGCTCTCAGGACCTGGAAGACACAGCTCCAGGAGCCGAGGGAAGGACACGCACACCCCGCGTGTCCACGGAGCACCCCCACTCTCTGTAAGGAGGCGAGGACGCCGGGATGCTCGTGGAGATGAGCAGTGACTGAGCCGCCTGAGGCCTCGCTGGGGCCCCTGGGACAGAGGGCAGTGTGGTCACAGTGATGTGCCATCCAGAACAGACGACTCCCTGGGGACTGACTCCAGGCAGGACCGACTCCCTGGGCACGGCGACAGGGCGGGACCCGGGCTGGAGACCCATGACTGCACGCGAAACCCGAAACACATGTGACACCCTCAGAGCGTGTGAGATGGGATGCTGCTGGAGGAAAGGACTGAGAAGAAAGCTGCCCTGACCTAGGGCAAAGACACGCACAACCCCCCGCAAGTCCAGAAAGATGCTCCCACGAGGGGAGAAGCGACCAGAGGGGCACGGAGGGGCATGGGGCTCCGGGCTGGTGTCCCCTCTGGGTGCCGGGTACCACGTGGCCACTCTGTGAAAACTGACTGAGCAGAGTGTAAGTGCTACGCTCCGACGTTTACGTTTTGTAAGGCGTGGGCAAAGGCGATGGGAGGCCACGCCGGAAGCCTAGCGCAGCAAGGAGGGCAGCAGCGTGGGGCAGCGAGAGGCACTCAGGGAGGAGCGGGCCTGGAGGACGGGGAGCGCCGGGGACACTGCCCGCCCCATCCTGAGCTGGTGCCCCCGGGGGTTGGCACCAAGACGGCACTGTCCCCCTCTCCTGGGAAACCACCGGAGTCTGAGCCCACTCACCTTGGTCTGACAAGAAGTCCAGCATGGTCTGCAGCAGGAAGGACAGGTGCCTGACAGAGAGGGCGGGGTTCCCCATTCTCCGGGACGCGTACACCAGCTCGTGCAGCAGACGCATCTGGACGGCAGCCCAGCCTCGGTGAGTGCCTGCGGGAGAAGCCACGGGACATCAGAGTGGGCCTCGGGGTGCAGGGCCACGGGGCGGCGCCGCAGCCCCTCGGGAGCCACCGCTACTGTGTGAGACAGCGATTCCCGGACACTGCCTCAACTGCCAAGCTAGGAGGGCACAGAAGCGCTTCCCCAAGTTATCCTGGAGAAGAATGTTCACGTGATATGTTTGCTCACACATTTAAAAAAGAAAAAAGTTTTTATTTTCTCTCTTCTGCAAAGACACACAATCTCTAAAACAACCCATTCTGAAATACTTACAATTAGGTTAGGACAAAAGACTATGTTTTCAGTGGTATGTATTTGAGTTATAGCATACTTTTTTTCCCAAGAAAATACTAGTATTTGACGAGCCTTCATTATCAACAACCAAACACACAAAATTTAAAAAGCAGATTTCTCTAAAGTGTAAAAACAAAAAAGTAGAAAGCTAAATGAGAAAAACATGGTTACCAACAAACTGTGGCTGCTCCCTCCAAAATAACTTAGTGTATCTGAAATTAGAGGTGGAAGAAACTGGTTGCACAACCATCAGAAAGCATCTCTTTAGGATCCCAGGATTTAACGTACAGCTGAGTCCCCTTGCTGTTCAACTAAAACTATCACAACACTGTTAATCAGCTTCGCATGCGAGCATGCTCACTCAGTCACGTCTGACTCTGTGCCCCCACGGACTGTAGCCCGCCAGGCTCCTCTGTCCATAGGTTTCTCCAGGGAAGAATACTGCAGTGGGTTGCCGTTTCCTCCTCCAGGGGATCTTCCCAACCCTGGGATCAAACCCGTGTCTCCTGCACTAGCAGGCAGATTCTTTACCACTGAGCCACCTGGGAAGCCTGTTAATTAATCAGCTATGTTCCAATGTAAAACAAAGTTTTAAAAAACATAAAAGGATCAGGATTTCAGAGATAATTATCTGTGTCCCTTTTGGAAACAGTTAGTGCTTTTACATATTTTCCACCTTAAACTTCTTCATGAAGAAGACGTGGTGACAGGAATCACAATCAGTTACCACCCAGCGCTGTGTGTCCAGGGAGCCTGGGGGAGCTGGCAGAAAGGCTGGAGGCAAGATTTAAGACTCTAAGCAAAGGATACGCCCTCTCTCCTAGCCCCACTGACCATCTCTCCCACCGCCCTCCCTGCAGGGCTGACCGGCCCCCTCTGTGGATTTCCACCAAACCCTGCACTATCTTGTCCCACGGGCATTCTCCGGCAGGTACCCTGAGCGCCCGGAAGCTCGTGCCCTGGTTTCTTCCATCAGTCCGTAACTTCCTTGGGAGCCAGGATGGTGTCGTACTCACCCAGCTGCCCCAGTGAGAGGCCTGACACAGAGCTGGCACTTAACAGGGTCGTGGGTCAAGCTGAAAGCCTGATGAAAGCCTGTTGTTCATACATGGCTACTTATGTATATAGGCTAAAAGGACATGATTTCTTGGATTTGCTGTAAAAATATTTCAACAAAGAAATATTTAAGAACAAATACTTAAAAGAAAAAGAAAGGTATGAATAAAGCAGATATGGCCAAATCTAATTACTTAAAAATATGGGTGATGGGCTCATGGTACTATTCTAATTTGTGTATAGTTTAATTATTTCATAATAATTTTTAAGTTGCTGAATGACAGTAATTGTTGAGATTCTTAGAGCAGACCAGACCAACCCACACACAAAAGCCTTGATATCCTACCACTCCGTCTTTCAAACAACAAGCAGGAAGGAGAGAAGGACAAGGACAAGACCCCACAGTGTTTCCATGTCACCGGAGAGCCACAGGCTGACGTGAAGGAGGTTCTGAGAAGGATGAAGCTGAAGTCCACGTCACAACTAACCCAGCCCAGGTTGATGAATGACCCAACTCAACCCACCTTTAGCACATCCTGTCAACAACAGGGCACATATCACTTTGCAAATTTTCTTTTACTAGATAAGGATCCAGTTCCCACCACAGGCAATTATGATAAGAGCATAAATTTTCTTAACACCAAATAGCATACAAGTCATAATTTCTATGTGATTCAAATTGCTCCTATAAAAATCTGAATCTTTTTATCCTTAAGTCAGCCTTGCAGCATATGAGCCAGTGATAAAATTTTCAACATTCCTGTATTCAAAAATTTCACCTATGTGAGAGTTTATTACATCAACTGTGGCCTTTTAAAGCAAACTCATATGCCACTCTCTTTCCTAAGAGTTCCTGGGGAAAATTTAATCCCTCGTTCAGGAAAAGGCTAAGCAGAAGGTATGATCAAAAAAATCTTCGTATATAGAACACAAATAAGATTAAAGTGATAATAAGCAGGCTGTTAAGCTGACAAATACACACAGTGCCCTTCTGTGTTCCTATCTCAACTTTCCATAACCAGCCAAGGAAAATGTTCATTTCAAGAAACACAGAAAAAAATTTCAGGTGCTGAGAATAAAGACAATCACCCTTTTATTCATGAGTATAGGGTGTTAGTAGATTTCCACTTAATTCTCTGAGAAATGTTTAAAGTGGTCCAGAGCAACAGTGAAGATGGGGTTTAAAGTAACTTATTTCTTACTAAAAAAAAAAATACAGCCAGCTGACTTTTATCATTTTTACTTTATTTGATCTCTTACCTGACCTCCCCAACCTCTTTCACAAAATGATGGTGAATGTCCCCTCCCAAAATATTAATAGAAGGCTGGGTAAAAAGCACCAAATACAGGGAGTTGTGCTTGTTTGCTTCATTTTTCAAAAGAAATATGTTTTGTTCAAGTGACTTAAAAACTGAGATCAAGAATGGCTGCTATCCAAAAGTCTACAAGCAATAAATGCTGGAGAGGGTGTGGAGAAAAGGGAACCCTCTTATACTGTTGGTGGGAATGCAAACTAGTACAACCATTGCGGAGAACAGTGTGGAGATTCCTTAAAAAACTGGAAATAGAACTGCCATATGACCCAGCAATCCCACTCTGGGCACACACACCGAGGAAATCAGATCTGAAAGAGACACATATACCCCAATGTTCATTGCAGCACTGTTTATAATAGCCAGGACATGAAAGCAACCTAGATGCCCATCAGCAGACGAGTGGATAAGGAAGCTGTGGTACATATACACCATGGAATATTACTCAGCCATTAAAAAGAATACATTTGAATCAGTTCTAATGAGATGGATGAAACTGGAGCCCATTATACAGAGTGAAGTAAGCCAGAAAGAAAAACACCAATAGAGTATACTAACACATATATATGGAATTTAGAAAGATGGTAACGATAACCCTATATGCAAGACAGAAAAAGAGACACAGATGTACAGAACAGACTTTTGGACTCTGTGGGAGAAGGCGAGGGTGGGATGTTTCGAGAGAACAGCATCGAAACATGTATATTATCAAGGGTGAAACAGATCGCCAGTCCAGGCTGGATGCATGAGACAAGTGCTCGGGGCTGGTGCCCTGGGAAGACCCAGAGGGATGGGATGGGGAGGGAGGTGGGAGGGGGGGTTCAGGATGGGGAACACATGTAAATCCATGGCTGATTCATGTCAATGTATGGCAAAAACCACTACAATATTGTAAAGTAACTAGCCTCCAACTAATAAAAATAATTGGGAAAAATAAATAAATAAAATCAGAATTAGAAGATTTAAATAAATAAATAAATAAAAATTTTTTAAAAAAGAAAAAAATAAAAACTGAGATCAAGAAAGAAACTCTGCTCAACAGACGGCAACAAGCACATGTCACCGAAGCTGCTCGCCAGTTTCGGGCCTTGGTGCACGCATTTGCGGGGACGCCTGCAAGGGGACACTGGGAGGGGCGGGGTCCCCGTCCTCACAGGCACACAGCCTAGGGAGGGGGGTGGATGCTAAACCATTGCCCAGTGTCTTAATGTACCTACAATTCATGGGAAATGCTATACAAGAGGAATAGGAGTCAGTGACGAGGAAAACAGAGGGATTGTGTGCAGGTGTGGGACGACCGGGACATTCAGGGCGCCCAGCGCAGCAGGTGAGGGCAGAGGCAGGCGTCCAGAGGAGGGGAGGGCGGGGGGGCCCGGCAGTGGCCCTTGGGTCGTGTCCACAGCGGTTACTGCACGAAGCCCAGGGCGCGCTCACTCCACAGTCAGCCTGCAGGGATATCCAGGGGACACAGGGTCGCTGGAAAGCCCCGCACTCTGTACTGAAGTCTCCCAAAAGCCCACGAACGGGGTTCCCAGGGCCACCGGGACCTACAGCCCCTCTCAGCATCCCCTTCCTGACTCCACCAATGATGAGCCCCCAGCACAAAGACCGCCAAGCAGAGCCCACCCGGTTTCCCATCTGAAAGGAGAGGGCAGGAGTCAGACTGGTCTCGGAACCACGAGAGGCTCCTCGGTCACATGGGCCCGTCTCACCGCACACCCACCCCTGGCCCCAGCCCCGGAGGTGCAAGGCTCAGAGCCCAGGGCAGCGGGGTCCCGCAGAGGGCCAGCCGAGGGACCCTTCAACAGGGACAGGCCCCACAGGGAGGTTCTGGTTTCTGGCTGTGGGTCCCTTCAGGCCTCGGGCTCCAGGATGACATTCGGTTCAACACCACACAGTCTCGGGGCTCCAGGAGGCCAAGGACAGTCCATGACCACAGTGGAGGGAGTCGAAGCGCCCCGGGAGGCCAGTTAGGGGCCCACAGAGGGGCCAGGTGACCACCGCTGCCCTGAGCTGTATTTCATGCCAGGGCTGAAATACAGGCTCATATCAACTTATCCAGAACTCACGGTCCATCCAAAAGTGCCAATCATGAAACACGTGCTCAGCAAAACTTAGCTTCCATCCCATCTCTTGGGGGAACACAGAGGGAAAAGTAATCAAAGGAAGAGCAGGTGACAGGACAGCTGAAAAAAATCTGCTGTGATTTCTGTTTGGGTGAGATGGTGAAAGATCTGGAAGAAAGTGCCACTGGATGAATTCAGACATGGCTGAGTGTCCTCAACATGTGGCACAGTGTCCAGCACAAAGCAAGAACCAAGAAACGCCTGCTGACAGCTGACTTGCTAGAGAGGTCCCCAGTTCTACCCAACCCCTTGCACTTAATACATCACAACAGGCCTGGGCCAAAGCCAGGGACCGAGTTCAGGTTCAAAATTACCCGACCAACAGTATGAGTCCGACCACTGACACCATGCAACATAGACAAATGGCAGGTCTCCTGATTTAACTTTCCTCTCCACGTTAATTGGGGTGAAGTAACTCTCGGCTCCGGTACCTTTGCTGAAGTCCTGTGGGTCCAGCGACAGGCTGTAGCCAGGAAGTGTCTCCAGGAGCAGCTTGTAGCAGGCCCTCCAGCCAGGCTCCGAGATGCTCGGCGCCACGCACTGCATGGCGGCCACGCGCTTGAAGAAGGCGGACTTGCGGTGGAAGCCGATCAACTCGTAGAGCTCGGAGAGGATGCTGTAGCGCTGGATCTTCTCCTCCTCGGAGAGCTGAGGCACCGGAGGGGAGGAAAAAGCACGTGAGAGAAGCTTCCAAGTGAAAAAGGGAAACAGAGGGCCTTCTGTAAAGCAGCGACCCAATGAAACATCCGAAGGCGAGGGGAGGCCGCAGCAGCATGCTGACACAGTGGGAGGCAGAGGGGCGCAGACGTGGCCCCATGTGGGAGCATCGAGGCCTTTTCTGCACCCCACGTCTCCTCGCTCACCCCGTCCTCTTGCTAAGAAGGCCGCATTCTCTTGGACAAAGGCATCTGCCACTTAGAACGTAAGACACAGAGAAGCGAGAGAGAAAAAGCGAAAGACACTGGAATCTGGGCAGGAATTTTAAAACACATAACTTCTCAAAACACAAAATTCGCAGAACCAGTGAAAAAGAAAATGAAATGTCAATAATAACCACACTGACCTTGGCCTGCATCCACAGCCTAACCTAACCACCACCTAACCCAACCACCCTATCATGGACAGCTTCTGTTTCTTAAGAACGACTCCAAGCCAGCAATGAAACTACTAGGTAAACAGCTTAGATTTTTTCAAAGCAGTAAGTGTCTGTGATAGCCTGTGTACACATTCATTTACTTTGGGCCGCATTCTGAAAAAGATCTAAATCAATTTTTTAAACACAATTTAGCAACAACAACAACAAAAAGACAAGAGTGAGAGTGAGGAGAGAATGGGGACTTAATGTTCAGATGAAGCGAGGGCCAGATGAAGCACGGGTGACTAACAGAGGCAATGGCAGACTCAGCTCGAAGGGCCCCGGCAGCTGAAGCAAGAAGAAAGATGACGAGCTGCAGGAGCCACAAGGCCTGTGGGGTAAACAGCGGCCGTGCGTCCCATGTGGGAAGGTCCGAACCATCCTTCTCCCGTCAAGCACCCACCTCAGACCCTACGTGGCTCAGGCCTGGTTGCGTTGAACTTAACAAGCACAGCCCCAGGCACTGCTCTCTGCTTTCCTTTCCCACCAGCTGTCTCCCCGTCTCATCACTGCTGCGGCCTGCAAACCGAGGCCTGAGGTTCCAGTGTAAGGATGGAGGCGGCCTGTGCCCCGGTCTGCAGGCAGCTCACCCAGCAGGGCCATTTCTCTGCTGCGTGGACTTCCCTCCAAGACACACTCCCTCCTCCTCAGGTCCCCACAAAACTCCTCTCCCCCAAATACGAGGACCTCAAGCCATATTCCTGACTCCTGTTCAACCAGGAATTCCGGTTCCCTGTCTTTTTGCCTTCTCCAATAAAGAACCTGACTTTCCTCCCTCCCCATCCCAACCCCTCCCTTCTCTGTGAGGACCGCACACACTGTCCTAAGGCCAGGCACCCTGCTGGTAGGATGGAGCTGTTTCGTCTAACCTGGGCTGCATCCTTACACTGGTCCCCTTCTGTCTCAGAAAGCCTTTCCCGAGCCTCCCACCTCTCCGATTCTGAGCTTAAATCGACAAAGTTCCAAGGTTACCGTTATTATGTGCATATCTACTGGGTTTTTGCTAGGTTTCCTTAGCAACAGCCTCATTAAGAAACTGCATCAAGAACTTTAAAGAGGCTATTCTTACGTGTGAGCGGAGTAGCCCACAGAAAATGCAAATGGCTTTGAAGAGAAAATTAACCGGGGGCCCAGAGGCCGCAGGTTCTAATCAGCAGTGTCACGAGCTGAGACGTCCTCAAGCGGCTCAGTCATTCCTGAACGTCACACTTGCAGGAGGTGCCGGGGTGAGCGTCACCGGCCCAGGAGCAAGCTCCCACGGCTGGGAGGTACTGGGCTTTTCCCTAGCTTTCCAAACAATTCCTTACTGCCTCTTTCTCTTGTGGTCACTTAGGTTTCCTACTAATGAAGAAAATTAACTTCAGTCACCTGGGTTGTTTGGAAGAAGCTACAAGATGCGGTTCACAGAGCTTGGACTTTGCAGCCACAGCAAACTAGGTGTGCAGACGACCAGTGGGAGCACTCACAATGTCTGCCCGCAAACACCTGGCCTTTATTTTCTCCTCTCTAAAACCGGGTTCAGGGGCCTCCCCGGGAGCTCAGTGGGAAAGAATCCACCTGCCAACACAGGAGACACGACGTCGATCCCTGGTCCAGGAAGATCCCACATGCCACAGAGCAACTGAGCCCGTGAGCCCCAGCTACGGAGCCCGCACTCTGGAGGCTGGGGCCCCAGCCACCGAGCCCGCGCTCCAGAGGCCGGAGCCATAGCTACTGAAGCCCGCCCCACACAGCTCAAGAGTAGCCCCCACTACTAGAGAAACTAGAGAAAACTCATGCACAGCAAAGACCCAGCACAGTCAATAAGCAAAAGAAACTATTTTTAAACTAAAATAAAATAAAGCTGGGTTCAATAACACTACTAAGCACAGCTACCATGAGGATTATAGCCAAAATCTGCTTCTCCCTTGGCAAGTGAGCGCAGCAAGCTGGCACTTAATCAGCCGTAAGTACTATCAGCAAGTTTCAGTTTACCTGGTAACAGTGGCTTAGTCCTTCTGTCTTTGCCTGGTAACAGAACTTGTCTTACTGAGATTAACATCAGAGCAGCCCCAGCTAGAAAGTTCCCCAGCCCTGCAAGGCAATGTATGTTCTTTTTCTCTGCAGAACTGATGACAGTTTGTGCTCATTTGTTTTCATGTTTATCTATTAGTACCTACGTCCCCCACTGGACATTGTGCTCGAGCAGCACAGGAACCCTATGGAGTATAAATAAAACCTATGGAATGTTCTTAGGCTACAAGCCTGGTGCCTGGCCTCCAGTCCAGAATGGAGAGAAGGGAAAACCCAAACAAGCACACTTTACCGAGGCCCCTGCACCCGAAATTATGGTCTGACAAGTTACCAAGTCTTCTTTACTCTGAGGCTCCTCTTCCGTCGATGAGAATAAACACACTTAGAACAAAAGGCTACAAGGACTGAAGGAAATAACCAAATTCACAGCCTAGTCAAGAGTCTGCTAGTGGTTCCTCTACAAACAGGAGCTGCCCTTCCGGCTCTGACACATCACCGGTGGGGCAGACAGTGAACGCTTCCTAAGTGCCAAGTGGCGTGGGAAGCACTCTACATGTGTTATAATCCCATTGACAATTCACACCATATCCAGGAAGAAGTGAATATTATCATGCCCATTTTATAGATTCACAAACAGGCTAAAGGAGGCTACCTCCCAGTCCAGGGTCACAGAGAGAGGAATCGGCAATTGGAACCTGACTCTGGCTGCAAGGTTCGAGCTCCTCTCTCCCTTCGCCCTGACCACCTGCAGTTGAGACCTACAGGGCCGCTACACAAATCTGTAGCCAGCTCTCTCTGTAGCCAGAGCTCTCAGCTCGCAGCTCTTTGTCAATGCTAATGCCCATGAACCACTCCCATAAACAACTGAAGACAAGACAGGTGGATCCACGTTCCTGCTCACAAAGAAGAGGAATCCTGCCTGGAACCCTCCTGGAACATGCAGAAACCCTTCCCAACACCAGTAGATCCAAATGGATTTTTTTCAGTTTCCACATCTGCATGCTTCTCAAGGCAGAAGGCACCTGCAATAATGCCCTCTTGGTTCCTTTCAGCATGTCCACATCAGCCAAGAGGAGTCACAGGACTGACCTATCAGTGGAAGACACCTGATCGAGACCCAAAAGCTCACCCTGTTTCAGGAAAACCACAGGCCGTTCCTCTTTGTCACTGTCATTGTAGTCTCACCAGAACTTACGACTTTGCTGTCTGCCCATCAGGCAACCAGACACAGAGATGAGCCAACCCCAGCAAAGCGGCGAGCCAGGGAGAACTCCACAGGTCCACGCCCGCCGCGGTGAGGCCGGCCACTGGCCCCCCACACGGCTCTGCTGACCTCCAGCGTTCTACGAAGCCCAGCCAACAGAGAAGGGCTGTTTCCAGCAGGTGCAAATTTCTACACGCTAAGCAAAAGCACGTTACCTTATGAGACACGCTGCGTCACACCCACCTGTGGAAAGAGCCTCGCCGAAAGCCCGAATGTTCAATGTGAATCTGCAGAGGCAACTCTGGTCCATAAGGGCAAGCGGGTCTTAAGACACCAAGTCTGCCAAGTCCTCCCCACAGCCGGCCCCCCACCAGACTGCCTGCGGCCCTGCAGCCTGCTCTCAGTGTCCATTCAAAACCACCCGTCCCCCTCCTCACTGGCCACCGCCTCCGGCTGGAGCAAGTAAAGGCAGCTGCCGAGAAGCCCTGCACAGTCGCCTGCGCAGGGCCGGACACGGTGTCTGAGCGGCACTGCTCCTCAGGCCACCGTGAGTCTGTCGTCCCATCATTTTACAGGTGAAAACACAGACATATGGAGGGATTCTGCCGTGAGCGCAAAGTGGGGTCTGTGTACAAGCCCACGACCCTGTCCTCCAGCGCAACGCCCCAGCTGTGTCCGCACACCCTCAGGGTTCCCTCGTGCCTGCCTGACGAACCCACGTGTCTTTACTTTCGCTCACGACCTACGATGGATCTGCCTTTTAAGCATCTTTTCCACCCACTGTCCTTCAGAAAGATGGCCACTCAGGCCACCGAGTGACTTCCGGCTCCCCGAGCTCGAGCCCGGTCATGCCTTTGCACCGGAGCCCTGCTCGGGGGCTCTTCGGCTGCTGTGGGTGGGTCATTTCCTCTCTTCACTGGGAGAGCCCTCGGGGGAGCCCTCATCTTGCCCTCAGCACAGGTCCCAGGACTGCACCCTGAGCTGGCCCACTGGGGCTGCGTGTGCCCGGGGCTGCTCCCTGGATGGCAGCCTCACAGCCAGGAATCACGCCTGCTCGTCCCTACAAACGCACTGCCCGGCCCAGGGCTCACACCCCGCAGGTCACCCAGAAACCGCGGTGAGTGGTCACCCAACCCAGACGTCCGTTCATCTGCCGGCGCTGCCGACCGCTGGCTTCCACCCTTCCCCATCAAGCGGTGGGTTTTCGCTTTTCCTGCCCATCTTTACCGGAAACCTCAGCCTTTTCTGATAAGGCACAGAGAGGCTGAGTGAGTCACGCAAGGCGACGAAGGCAGGCTCAAGGCCCAGCCGTATGCATTCCCAGTCCTTGTGCTTAACTCTCACGCTAAAGTAGTCCACGTCTTATAGACTGTGGTTATAAACATGTGCGGTCTCAAAATATGTAGGAGCAGGATACAGATCAACTCTAAGACGCTGATTAACTCCACGGCTTTATTTCTATTTTAAAAATTAAGAAGCTCCGCAGTCAACATGGCAAAACGTTAACATACTAATAAGCCTCTGTTACAGAGGCCTACCATTCTCTCTTACATGTTCGGAATGCAAAATGACAGTGAAGTCTGTCTCCCTCCCCTCCCCAACTCCCCTCTCTCAGCTGAGTCCCCCAGACCCACATATTTAAGGCTTTTCATTACACATCTGACTCCATCAGCTTGGCCCCCAGACTCCCTCTGAAGAGTCTCTTCTCTGAACACAGCATGGCCATCACTCACCTCATTCATCACACCGGAAACCTGGGCATTACTCCATCTGGCCCTCACGTAGGTCACTAATTCCTTCCTTTTCACCTAAACACATATCTTCAATCTGTTGACTTTTTCCCACTGACCACCCCATCACCACTCCGGTGAAGCCACCTACACCGCCTACCTGGGCCCCTCAAGAGCTCCCACCTGGTCTCCCCCACCATGCTCACCATGCTCCAGACAAAGGGGGGCCCCATCATTCCTGTGCTTTTAAGGCCTTTCTGTTTAAACCCACTGTTGTTTGAATAAACTCCCAGTTCTTCACCTGGTGAGTGTCCACCTTTGCCACAAAACTGTCGGCACAATGAGAGCAGACTCTGCCTTCCCCACCTCTAGGCCCACTTGGAGCACGATGCCGAGCTGAGCGAGATCTGCTCGAGGACAGTCGCCTGTGTCCTAACCCTAGCCCTGGGCCCCTAAGCAAACTGCTTCACTTTTCCGTCTTGGCAGCCCTGGACATAAAAAACCAAAGTGGACTAGAAAGACCATAGATGTTTAGCTGGATTACTGATTTGGAGGTTTTGCATTAGCAACCTGCAACTAAACGTCCTGGTGATTGTCCTGTTAAAGACAGGTCCAGATCCAGGTGATATGTGCGGGATGCCTTCGGGGTATAACAAGCTGTATGACGTACTTTCACACACTTCATGCTTTATAACAGGCACAACCCAGACAGGATCACAGATGGCATCGCTTCAACTGACCAAAAAAGAGGCATTAAAGCTTGGCCAAGGCCGCAAAGTGTTAACAGCAAAGTGCTCTCTCCAATCAAAAAAAAAGTTTTGAAAAAACAAAATTCTGAATTTTCAAAGTAAAAGACCATAATATAAAGAAGTAAAACAGCTCCCTTAATCAGGGTTCCAAGTTCTGACTCCAGGGTTTTGACCACACTGAATCCCAGCACAGCAAAACCAGGCAGACTCAAGGAGAAAAAGCTCCAGGAGAACTGCGTCAGTCCCTCCACACGGAGGACACACACCCACCTGCCGAAGGTTGATGTAAACTGCGTTCTGGAGAAATTCCGAAGCCTCCATGCTCCGCTTCTGAATGGCGAGGACGCGGACGGCCTTGACACACGCTTCCAGCTCAATCACCCCGGCGTTCTTATACTGTAGGGTCGAAAGAGCAGAGAGAGGTTTCCGTCGCATCGTGCAGGCTGCACCCGGGGACTCGGTGACGCTGAGCAGCACCTCCCCAGCAGGAGGACCTGCAGCACAGCCCAGCCAAGTCTGTGCTTGAGAAAGTCTATCCCAACTGCTGGGGGCAACAGAGGCTGGAGGGATTGAGTGAGCCTATAAACGCACATACACATATATATGTTAGCATTCCTTTGAGTAATACAACCAACAGTAGCTGGCTATTTTACAGAATTTCCAAACACTGCCCATGGAGACTCTGCTGCTCATTTCCGCTTGGCTCCTGTGCTCTTAGGCTCTCACACCCGCGGCTTTGAGGCAGGAGCTGTCAGTTCCTGCCCTCTGAGGCCAAAGTCCTAGCTCCCTGTGTCACTGTGTCCGTCCACTCAGCACGCTTGATGTGTGTCTGGTTTTCTCCCTGAGTTACTTGTTCCTGCTCCTCGGGTCTTGAGAGGAAGGACAAGTGAAGACATGTGAACAGAGAAGGCACCATGGACTTCGGCTGGCTGCTCAGTAATGGTCCTCCTCCAACCTCACCTCCAGCTCTTCAGGTTCTGCCTAAGGTGACATCTGGCAAGGAGAGCTGCCCTCGGCCGCTGGAAAACTGTGTGGGGCCAGGCCCCCCTCCTGCACCCTCCTCTTTCCCAAGGCCCCAACATGAGCCCTCCTTGCTCCCTGTCCTTCTACCCTTTTTCTCTTTTTCCTGACGGTCCCGAACTGGAGCAGTTTTCAACTGAGTTTTCTCAAGACTTCTTGCAGCTGGGGAAGAGGCTTCCAAAGGTGAATAAACCCATGTATCCTGGTGCCTGGAGAGAATTCCTGGTATGGCCAGGAGACCCCTGTCCACACCCAGTAAGGCATCAAATGTGCCACGGAGTTGGCCACGCCCTCAACGAGCATCGGCTGAGACCCCAAGGCCTGCCTGGTATAACTGCTCATAAAAATGCAGTCTGAAAAAAAAAAAATGCAGTCTGCCCACTTATGGATTATTAAGAAGCAGAAATACACAGTTGCTCATGTTCCTTACTAAAATTATTTGTAAGGTAGAAAAAGAAATGACTGTGCCAGAAGGAGCAGGCCTCCACTCCATCCTCGTTTCTAAAACATAACATGCACAGAACCTGTGAGAGGTTACATGTAATTTACCAAAGATGGCACAAGAAGGAACTGTGCTTACCTAACTATTAATACGGATGTGAAAATTATATCAGCTTTATATACCACTTAACGGCACGACAGAATCTAACAGGGACTTGATGCCATTGAAATAAAATTATTTCCTTTCCTACAAAACTCTTTAAGAAAACTACTGAAGTGACATAAGGTCACCTCAGTTTTTTTTTTCACATATTTTGATTATAGTTACATATTTTAAACACTGGTTTCTCAGGAGGCACAGAGCTAAAGAATCCGCCTGCCAACGCATGTGATGCAAGAGATGTAGGTTCAATCCCTTAGTCGAGAAGATCCCCTAGAGAAGTAAATGGCAACCCACTCCAGTATTCTTGCCTGGAGAATTCCATGGACAGGGGAGCCTGGGGGGCTACAGTCCATGGCAGCTCAAAGAGTCAGACATGATTGAGCACAACAACATTTTAAATATTACAATGAGATTTAAACTGCAATCATAACAAACAGGACGTTTCCTAGAAGTCTGCTCCATACCTGGGCTTACAAGCATCATCCTGGGACGTAAGCTCTCTGCTGAGGGGCCATGCCCCTGTTTTTCACTGTTGATTCCCTAGTAACCACCTACCAAGGCACCAACATTCAGCACAGAACTGTGTGATCGATACTTCTAGAAATACAGGAGGGAATTATCTCATTCACCTCTAATACAAAACCCTAAAATCAATACTGAGCTTATTTACAGATAAAGGAAATAGGGCCCCCCAAAAGTACAGCATCTTGCCCAAGGTCACAAAGCTAGCAACTGGTGAACACAGGATGTGAAATCAGGTCTGCCTGACTCCAAAACCAAGGTGGAAATCCCCCTGCATCAGAGAAGGCCCAGCACCACAGACTATCACCCTCCCTTTGTTCGGCTTAAGCTGTATACAGCCTAGACAACACCCTAAACATAGGGAACCTGAGAGCAAACTACAACAGTAAGGACTTAACAGCCAATAATGTCTTAGGTCTTGTTTACAAAGTGTCAGCAGATTGCCGGGAAAGCTCTGTAAGAGAGTATTCTAAGAAAATACCAAAGAGAAACCCCATAAGGGAAAGATTCACTATATTAAAAACAGTTTGACCACAACCTAAATGAAAAACCGCATAAACAAAATGCAAGCAACATCAAGAAAAAGATCTGCGATGTATGTCCACGACAGACAAGAAGCTAACACCCACAATTTACAAAGAGCTATCACAAAGCAGTAAGAAATGCTCCCTAATTTAAATGTGTGCAAATGACAAGATGGATAATTCATCTTAAAAAATGCCATTGGTCAATGAGTGAAAAATGTTCAATACCACACTGGTCATGAAATGCAAACCAAAATAATGAAAAATTTCTTTCGCTCATCATATTGGCAAATATTTTAAAAGGAGAGTGTCCATTTGTGGGAGAACAAACTGTCAGCAACTCTTCAGAAGGAAACAGAGCAATGCATACGTAAACTCTAAAAAATAATATGCACACTTTTTGACTGAAGTCAACTTCCAGGGATTCTCTCCTTTAAGAAAAATCAGTCCAAAAGATGTATCCATCAGGTAAATTTGTCACAGCACTGTCTACAATGGTGGAAAGGAAATTTTAAATGAAACAATATTCAGTAATAGAGAATTGGTTAAGCGAGTAATTCTCCATCTTTTCATCCCCTGTTGGAGAACAAATCTGGAGAGTAACTTGAAAGTAACCAATGATATATGTAAATGTCATATCCTGTGACTAAACTTCCAGAAATCGTAACTAAATGAACACAAGAACATACAAGAACACAAGGATCTATTGGACAAGAGTAAGAATGTTCAGTCAAGCATTTTTTCTAAGAGTGAAAAAGTGAGAAAACCAAAAACGCAAGTGTGCATCCACAAGATGGTAACTGGGTAAGTCATGGTGAGCTGGGGACTCTGAGGGGGAGGCACTCTGAGGGGGAGGTCCCGCTGCAGGTGTCTTATTCATGACCTTCTCCCACAAAAGGAACTGGTGGAGAAATGACTGCACCCACATACTGGAAGGATTCTCTGTTTGAAAGGATCAAGCAGACCTGAAATGGGAGGCTATCTATGATATATAGCTGAGTGCATGAAGCAAGCTGCAGAAAAAATGATAGAGTACGGTCTCATTTTTGTAAATGGAACATATATATATACATATACTATGCATAAGTATAGGCTTTTATTTCTCATGTATGTGTACATGCACATGCATATTTCACAGGCATAAAGGTCATGAAAGGGATATGTGCTGTGCTCACTGTCGTGTCTGACTCTGCAACCCCATGGAGCCCGACAGGCTCCTCCGTCCATGCGACTTTCTAGGCAAATGGAGAGGGCTGCCATTTCCTCCTCCAGGGGATCTTCCCGGCCAGGGATAAGACCTGAGTCTCCTACCCCTCCTGCATTGGCAGAGGGCTCTCTACCACTAGCACCGCCTGGGAGGCCCAAAGTGTTAATACTTGCTACTCTTCGGGCGTCCCTGGTGGGTCAGAGGTTAAAGCGTCTGCCCGCAATGCGGGAGACCCGGGTTCTATCCCTGGGTCAGGAAGCTCCCCTGGAGAAGGAAATGGCAGCCCACTCTGGTACTCTTGCCTGGAGAATTCCACGGACGGAGGAGCCTGGTAGGTTACAGTCCGTGGGGTCGCAAAGAGTCGGACATGAATGAGCAACTTCACTCACTCACTCTTAGGCAATGAGGGGAGGGGAAATAGGGGACGTTCATTTTTCACTCGCTATCACTCTTCTGTACAACCCCAGGCCCTTTTCCAGTATTTCAGTGAAATATATTTGAAATTTAAACTTTTCTTCAGTCCAAAGGAAAAAAAATGGTGTATCCACAAGATAGATTGCTATACAGCTGATTAAAAACCATGTCACAGAAAATTCGATAATGTAGAAACACACATAATATGCCAAATGAAAAATGTACGTCTCCACGCAGTAAATAAGTACAGAATCTCACCATTTTTATGATACAGATAATATACACTGCCAAAAAAGGACAGAAAATAGATATTGAGATGTTATCTCGAGTACTGGGGCTATGATAGCCTCTTTCCCCCATTTTTTCAGACACTAAATTAAATACAGCATTTTCAAGCATATGGTATTATGCACCCGGGAACGACACACGAATACCTACAGAAACAGCTAACCAGAGGGCCCTGCGGCACCACTGCCCAGCGTGCAGCAGGGACTCCTGCTGAAAGCAGCACGGTTACATAAGGACCTGCGGGGCGCATCACCTTGCTGTAGTAGGAGATGGCCTCCTTATACTTCTCAATGATGTCCTCGGGGCTCAGGCAGTTCTTCGCCCGTCCAATCTCCGTACTGGTGTCGGCGTTGATGCCGTTGGTAGTGAGCGCACCTGCACACCGAGAGGAAGACAAGAAGTAACCTTTCGATTTTTCCGTCGTGTTGCTTTGTTAGTTTAAAAGAGGGGCACAGAAAAGATAAAGCTTGAGTATTCCCGACTGAAATTTAAATAACGACACCGCTTTTAAAAGTCTTCACCACTTACACGTTCCCTTTCATAGTCTAAATGGTCAAAGCACTGTATTCAATGTTAATTAACTCAGAATAAAGCCTTCCTCCCAGTTGAAGCTTTTTATTAAAGAACATGAAATGCATTATATAAAAGTAACACGTCTACAATAACTAGCTCAGTTGTCTTGACGGCAATGCAGTCAGCATGCACTATCTCCCAGCACTAAAGCTCTTAATGCTAGCGAGAGGCCACACTGCGCTCTCAAACGGAGATAAACTAGGTGAAAATGTCCCCTGAACTGAGCACTGAAAAAAAACATCTTGCAAATACTGACATCCTTTGCAAGGCTGTCATTTTCTATTTCCGGCCAAGCCCTGTCAATAAGCAGAACCACCTAATTCCCTAGCCATCATACACACAGGGGGAAGAGTTCTGGAGACATTTCCATTTATAGAATGTAACCAACACAGAGAACTCTGACAAAAAAAAAAAAAAAAAGATGAAATACTCTTTGATTTCAGAGAACATTCAAAAATTATTCTCCTAAGCCTCAGAGCAGGAAAAGCTGGCTTCTCCTAAGCCCCTTGTTTATTTCACGGACAGTGAGCATCTCCCACAAATCCTGTTTCCCTCATGTTTCTGCTGGGGGGCTCGGGCAGGCACATGCTTGCTGTCGATCTCGGAACTCACGGGGCAAAGGCGTGTGCCTCACACGGCCCGCACCCCTTGCGCGAGCTCGACTGCTCGCCTTGCTGTCTAAACCAGGCCCCATTTCTCACCAACTCATCTGGTATTCTGGTATTCTGTAAGCTGCCTCGAATGCTTTTTGGAACAAGACAGAAGAGTAAGCGGATAGGAGGACAGTTGAAAGATGGGCAGATGAAGAGAGAGACACCAGGAAAAAATAACAAAGAACATTCCCTACACAGAGGTCCCTTCAATCAAGGGACAAAGAAGCATGAGAGACGGTAGGAGGCAGGTGGCCTCGGGTTTCATGTTTCTACAGATTTTGTGAAAATCCCAACAAGAGATGAGAGGGCAGAACTATAAATAATAAGAGGGCATGCACGCTTGAAAAAATACCTAAAATCTATACTTTCTAAACAATAGATTCAAATCACCAAGGCCCAACAACACAACCCTGGGTCCTTGCAGAGTTGAGAAGTCCATCTCCAAAGCACACAGCACCCTCGGAGCCACCCTAGGTGGTCATGATTCCATCACAGCGAAACCTGTTGTTCTGCACTTACAAGGAATCAGGACCTGTGTGGGGGTGTCCACGCGTGTGCTCTTTTACAACCCACAGCGAGGCTACGAGGGGCGACTCCTAGTGAGCCCTGTGTCTGCAGGACAGGAAACGGTCCTGGAGAGGCCGAGCACTCCTACCAGTTCTCCAGATCTCCGAGCCGTTTCTCCATAGCAGGGTGTGGACTCAGGCCTGCGTTTCTAGCTGCGGTGCTCGGCCTGCTCTACGTGCTGTCCACTTTCACGGCACACTGCATTCTGGCGTGGAGTAATATTTCACAGCTGATAGGTTGTCCTCATTCATCTCACCAGCTCTAACAACTTGTCTTTATATTGTCAAATTTGACCCTTTTCCCTTGAAGAAAGGAAGGGGATGAGTGGGGGTCAGCACGAGGTGGGCCTTCATTCTCCCTATGGAACCTCAGCTCATCAAGAAGCTCCCAACAAGGGAGAAGGAGCAAGCGTTCCCCCTGTCCTTTAAAAGAAAGGGGGGGGACCAAGATAATGAGGGTTCCCTTAATGATTTAGGGGCTACCCTGGTAGCTCAGCTGGTAAAGAATCTGCCTGCAATGCAGGAGACCCCAGTTTGATCCCTGGGTTGGGAAGATCCCCTGGAGAGGAGATAGGCTACCCGCTCCAGTACTCTTGGGCTTCCGTGGTAGCTCAGCTGGTAAAGAATCTGCCTGCAAGGCAGGAGACCCCTGTTTGATCCCTGGGTTGGGAAGATCCCCTGGAGAGGAGATAGGCTACCCGCTCCAGTACTCTTGGGCTTCCGTGGTAGCTCAGCTGGTAAAGAATCTGCCTGCAAGGCAGGAGACCCCTGTTTGATCCCTGGGTTGGGAAGATTCCCTGGAGAAGAGATAGGCTACACACTCCAGTATTCTTGCCTGGAGAATCCCATGGACTACATAGTCCATGAAGTTGCAAAGAGTCAGAGACAACTGAGAGACTTTTACTTCAATTTTAATGATTTACTGAACTCCAACAGCGAGGCTGGGGGAAAAGCCATAGGCAGCAACCCGGAAAAATATAATCTGTAAGAACGTAAAAAGAACACAGCTCACAGGAGAGCTTAGTGGGGCTGATGATTTAATTTCACTCAATAAAAGAATAACATCCTCTAAAAATACTGGTATGCAATGGATTTGATCTTTCTTGACACCTATACAGTTTTGACAGCCCACATGTAACATTTCTGTGGACCAGTGAAACAAGGGGTCCACAGAGAGGACAAGGCAGTGCCGCCGGCAGGCTGAAACCCAGGCTAGAGCAAAGGAAAGGAAAGCACGCAGTGAGGAAGGACGAAAAGCTGGGGGGGAAATCACCACAAGGGCTCTCAAGTACCAACCCAACGACCGTTCAGTCATTCAGTCGAGAGGGAGTCACTGCGTTCCTAGGACAGGCAAGAGCGTACAGGAGGCACGAGGTGGAAACTCGAGAGACAAGAGAAGCAGGAACGAGAGGGAATAAAACAGAGACACGTGAGGCAGCAGAGAGAGAGAAGGCAAAACCACAAGAACAACAAGGGGGGCTTGGATCAGGCAGGTACCAGTGCGGTGGCGACCCCAGCAACGACCAGCAGGCTGGCACCACACGAGGTCACATGCATCTGCTCCCTAATGAGGACACAAACCCTGCCACGCGGGCATGACCAGCCCTGACCTTCGGGGGAACAGCAGGAAGACAGGGCAGCTGGGAAGTCTGATGCTAACCCGGACAAGTGCGGGATAAACTCCTCCAGCACCAATGACTGGGGCAAAGATGGACTTGTCAGTAAACAGCACTGGGACAGCTGGAAGGCCATCTGGGGAAAGATAAAACCAGACCCACACTTCACACCAAACACAAGAACAAACTCCAAATGGTCTAGGATCTAAATGCACAACAGAAGAGCATAAAAGAAGCTCAACACACTTGGGTAAGTTCCTCTAAAACCTGAATATAAGGAAAGGCTCTCTAAGGATGATTCCAGGGGATTGTCCCAACCCAGGCATCTTCCCAACCCAGGGATGGAACCCAGGTCTCTCACATGGCAGGTGGATTATTTACTGTCTAAGCTACCAGGAAAGCCCAAGAATACTGGAGTGGAGAAATACTGGAGAAAGCTTCAAGAATACTGAAGCCTATCCCTTCTCCAGGGGATCTTCCCAACCCAGGAACCGAACCACGGTCTCCTGCATTGCAAGTGGATTCTTTACCAGCTGAGCTACCAGTGAAGCCCAAATACGATTCAAATCCAAAGGCAATTTTAAAAATTAATAAATTCAATTACTTAAAAACACAGGGAAAATACTATAAACGAAGGCAAAACATAAGCGACCAAAGAGAAAAGTATTTTCAACATACATCACCAAGGGCTAATATCCCTAATACATAAACAGGCCGTAAAGATTGAGAGGAAAAAAAAAATTTAAAAATCCAAAAGAACAAAATGAGCAAAAGATATGAGCAGATAATTCATTTTAAAAAACCTATAAATAGCCCTTAAACATTAAAAATAAATTCAAATTCACTAATAGTAACAGCTACCATTTCTCAACTGTCTAGTTGGCAAAAATGTAAACGCTTAACAACAGGCTCTGCAGGTGAACTTGTGCTGAAAAGGCATTCTCATAAACTGCCCCTGAGAACACCAAACAGTGTGACCCTGATGGAGAAGAATTTTGCAAAACTGAATAGAAGTCCGCACATATTTACCTTTTGATTCAGTGATTCCCTATATAGGAATTTATGCCAAAGACACAACTCCAACAACACAAAACACACATGCACAAGCTTCTTCACTACGGCGGCCTTTGTGATTTACAGAGCATAGAAACAACCAGCAGGTCCACCTGTAGAAGGCTGGTTAAATAAAACACAGTAAAACAGACAAGACACGTAGAGAAAACGGACGGGGCTTCCCGGGGGCTCCCATGGCAAGGAATCTGCCTGCAATGCAGAAGACCCAGGTTCAACCCCTGCGTCAGGAAGATCCCCTGGAGAGGGAAGCAGGATGATGTCTGCAAGCGGATATGGACTGATTTCCAGTCCGTAAAAAGATGGTAAAAACAGACACAGTAAAATAAAATTTAAACTAAAACCAAAAAAAGCCAAGTGTAAAAGGTATATGTAATATGCTACCTTTTTTCACAGGACAACCTATGAATCTACTTACAGGGCAACAATAAAGACGCAGACATAGAGAACAGACCCATGGACCCAGGTTGGGCGGGGGAGGAAGGAGAGGGTGGGACGTACCAAGAGAGTAACATGGAAGCATATACGCCACCATGTGTGAAAGAGATAACCAGTGGGGATCTTCTATGTGACTCCAGGAGCCCACATGGGGGCTCTCTAATAGCAAGAGGGGTAGGAAGGGGCAGGAGGTGGGACGGAGCTTCAGGACGGAGGGGACACATGCGTGCCCACAGCTGTCTCATGTTAATGAATGGCAGAGGCCAACAATACTGTGAAGTAATCATCCTTCAATTAAAAATAAATAAATTTTAAAATAAATGAAAAGTCTTTACTATAAAGAGAAACAAATACCTAGTGAAAAGTAACTACTTAAAAAAAAGAGTAGGGAATCGCCTCGCAATCCAGTGGCGAGGATTTAGTTACTTGGTGGCACTTTCACGGCAGTGGCCTGGGTT